TAAACCAAACTACCTGAAAAAGTCAGTAGAAAACCCCAGTGAACAATATTCAAATGCACAAGTTTTCCAATAAATGTCATTTCAAAATCAGAGTCAGGAATTCCTATGTCTAGAAGACTAGCATAAAAAGCCTGCATCTTTCTTCCCTACCGAAACGGAATGGCATGTTGCATCTGGACATTTACATCACTTCCTTCCATGCAACACTAAAGATGGTTTGTTCCCTACTCTGCTTCATACCATGGGCAGGGTAGGTGAGTAATCTGACAGAGGATGTAAAAGTATCACTTACATCAATAAACAGCTGTGTTGGATTTTTAGCTTCTATAGCTTTGTGCCTTGGGCAAATCCCTTAATAGCTCTAAGCTTCAGGGTTTTTTAAATCTGTAAAATGAATGGCTTTGACAGAGAACCTCTACAGCTCCTCTTAATATGATTATTCTAGCTCTATAATTACCCCTGTGTAACTCACCACATAACACATAACATAAAAATGGCACGCATCAACAAGTCCTTACTTCATTTCCTGATATCCTTCCCCACCTACTATTTCACAAAGCCAATGGTGACAACAAATCGGGCAAGGTTCCAGATTCCAATGTGTAGCTCTCAAAGCCAGTTTTTCAGTGGAAATTGTGACCCACCAGAATTTTGTGGGGTCACTAGAAATTTTCTAATACTGTACATTTTATCCATGGAAAAGACATTTTCTTCTGAAGGCTAAATTCTCAGATTCAGGTTCAAAACCTCAGCAGATGCCTTGGGAAAATGCTAAGATTGATGATACCAGCAGATCTTTTAAGAACCATTTATCAGTGGCTGCAAAACAAAGAGTGTATGTATAATATAGGGAGCTCCTTTCTCCTGTGAATAATAAACAGGTTTGATGATCCCATTCTGCTCTTACAAATACAGAAAAAGAAAATGAAGTAAGGTACAGTGGCTCATGTCTGTAGTCCCAGCACTTTGAGAGGCCAAGGCAGAAGGACTGCTTGAGTCCAGGAGTTTGAGACCAGCATGGGAAACATAGCGAGACCTTTACAAAGAAATAAAAAAATTAACCAGGCATGGTGGTACATGCCTGTAGTCCCAGCTATTCAGGAGGCTGAGAAGGGATCCCTTCAGCCTGAGAGTCCAAGGCTGTGGTGAGCCATGACAGGCTGGGTGACACAGTGAACTATCCAACAGGGTCCAAAGGAATTTAAATTTCAAGTTATAGTAGCAAATATCTGTCTGGGGCTGGGAAAACACCTCTTATTAACAGGGTGTCTGAATGAAACGTAATTGTACACCTAACCCTTAACTGTACCCCACAAAACTATAATAAAAATACTGATTAATTATTAAAAAAAAAAAAGAATCACAGCAAAAAAAAAAAAAAAAAAAAAAAAATTTCAAGTTATTTCCAAAAGTAAAATCAAGCCTAGGTTTAACTATTGGCAGTAATTTTTTATTTTTTATTTTTTTTTTGAGTTTGGGTCTTACTCTGTCACCCAGGCTGGAGTGCAGTGGCATGATCATGGCTCACCACAGCCTCGACCTCCTGGGCTTGGGTGATCCTCCTAACCTCAACCTCCCAAGTAACTGGGACTACAGATGCATACCTCCATACCCAGCTAATTTGATTTTTTTTTTTTTTGTAGAGACAAGTTCTCGCTATGCTGCCTAGGCTGGTCACAAACTCCTGGGTTCAAACAATAAGCTCACCTCTGCCTCCCAAAGTACTGGGATTACAGACGTGAGCCACTGCACCCAGCCAAGGCAGTAAATTTTGAGAATCTGACATGCCTGCTATTACTCACCTTCAAACTCTTTCTAAAACTCAGGAAGACAGAAAAGACGACATGTTGTTAAGGATGAGTACAGTAAACTGGAGGTACACTAATTCACAGGGTTCAGTTACTGCCAGTGACAAAAAAGACAACAGGAAAGCATGAAAGAACACCTGGACCTAAAAAGATAAACTAGAAGTCTAGTCCTAGCTCTGCCTAATTCAATCTGTGACCCTGGACAAATTCCTTCCCCTTCTGAGTTTGATGCAGATCAGTGAAATGTAAGCTATTGAAGTCCAGCAGTAGTTTGCAAAATGTTTAAGGCAATGAACAATATGCTCAGACAAAATCATCTAAAGTTCATTAGGAGCTAAAACAAATTCAAAATGGCAGGTTGAACAAATGTATTTATCTCCACACCTTTTAGTAACCCCACTGAATTATTATTATTATTATTATTATTATTTTGAGTCTCACTCTGTTGCCCATGCTGGAAGGCAGTGGAAAGATCATGGTCCCCACAGCCTCGACTTGCTGGGCTTAGGTGATCCTTCTGTCTCAGCTTTCAAGTAGTCAGAACCACAGGTGTATGCCATCATGCCCAGGCTGATCTTGAACCCCTGAGCTCAGGCAATCCCCTCACCTACGGCTCCTAAAGTGCTGGAATTACAGGTGTGAGCCACCACACCCAGCTCCACTAAATTATTTTTAATAAACATGCACTACTTTAGCATTTACTATAGGATTGCTTGAAGTACATTAACTAATAGAATCCTCAACACTCAAGTAGGTGATGGGTGATCCCCATTTTACAGATGAAGAGACAGAGTCACCAGCATTTAAGGAAGTTGCTCAAAAGTTTTCACAGCTAATAAGGGACAGAGCTAGAATTCAAACCTAGGCAGTCTGGCTCCAGAGTCCATGTGATACCGCCTCTCATACTGATGGTTAAGGAAGGAACAGCAAAATTCCAAAGAAAAAAAGAAGCAGAAGACAGAAGATTAGATGAGTCAACAAAATTTTAGCAGATGAAAAGCAGATGAATGAGTAGTAACTCCCTTAGACAGAGGATACTGAGCACTGCAGACGGCAAGCCACTGCAAAACCCCCTCTAAAATACCACCACTGGAGGCACCAGTTTCCTCTGAAGTGTGAGTATGAGGAGGGCATGAAAACAGGAGGTAGAGCCTAATTTTTGTTTGCCCTTTCCCTGGACCCCACCAACATATCACTACCGAGCTACTCCTTAGGCTCTACAGAATAGTTTCAAAACCAGTAAAGTATGCTGTGGCAGCTAACACCTGTAATCCCAGCACGTTGGCAGCTGAGGTAGGAGGACGTGTTTGAGTTCAGGAGCTCGAGACCAGCCTGGACAACATAGTGAGACCCTATCTCTTTAAAAATAAAAAATTAAGTGAATGCTCTATACAGTCCTGTTCAGTTCCAGCCTATGGCTTTATATTGGTTCTTATGCCCTTGATCCTTGAAACTAACACAGCAATTCAGACTGACCCTCTCAGTTGGAACTACATCTGATAACTTACTTGTCCTTTGAATGAACAAGAGGCATTTTAAAGGAAAAAACATACAAGCATTTTTCTGTATGCTATATTCTGTATTTGCATTAAATGTAGAGGAAAATGTGTTACTTCAGTTTATGTATCCTACTCTGCCATGCCCTTTTGGCTTCTTTGTGTCTTACAGGCTTTTCCTGGCTCACTCTTACAGACTAAATCTTAATCTAAAAATTCTCACCTATTACTGTTTTTCACCAGTCTCTATTTACACTATGTGTTATTGCCACCACATCATTCTTCGGTTTGTAAGTCTCTAGTGGGCTCAATATCTTCCACCATGTAATCACTGTGGACAAAAACTTCTTATTTATTTGTACTCCTTCAGCCTCTTTTAGTCCAGCTCATTTTTCTTAATCCTCTTGGTTCCCTTCTCCCATCTGAGAAGATCCTGCCCCTTTTCAGGCCACTTCACTCCTCTCCTGGAAGACCAACCTCCTTCAGGAGGGGTTTAGAATGATGAAAAAGTTTTGCCAGGTATAATACAAAGAACACCACAAATTTTCTCACTTAATCCTCATACTAATACTGCGAATTAGGAATCATTCCTATTTTTACATTTGGAAAACCGAGGCTTAACGAGATTAAATCACTTGCCCAAGGTTACAACTAGGATTTTAATCCAAATCCTTTTGTCACCAAAGCTATATACTTTTAACCATCCTACTCTACCACTTCCAGAGGTCTAACTCAAACGTGGAAGAAGTTTCCTAAACCATATAGAAGGGCAAAAAAAAAAGTCTCTAGTTTTTTCTTTTTTCTTTTTCTAAACAGGGGATCACCCACAATGCTGAGAGCCTTCCCGCCAAAGCCCATCAGGGACTGCCTGTAGCATCATCTCCCCAACTGGAGGGCTCCATATGGCTCAGTAGCTTGGCCAAGAGGCAGCACAGCATGCCTCTCCTGCAGGAAAGAACCCAAAGCACAGGAAGGAGCCTGGCTTTTACGATTAGAATGCTGATGGGGAACAGGTGGTTAAAATATCTTCCCCTCTTGATGACAGCATCCTTCCCCCCCACGCAGCTCATCAGCCCAGCCTCCTGGACCTTGGTGGTGGTGGTGGTGGTGGTGGTGGTGGTGGCGGCAGCGGCAGCAGCGGTGGGTGATGCCTTTCAGTGTGGGGCAGAGTAGCCTCTCACTTCAAAAAATTTCCAGATCAGATTTTAAAAGCTCTCAAGAGACAAAGTAGTAATCTAACAATCAAGGACAGGCAATGACTCCTAAGGAGAAGCCTTCTCCAACAGCACAGCCAACTCCGAGGGGGTACAAAGAAATGTGCACGGTGACAAGAGAAGATACTTCCCATCAGAATGAGGAGCCAGCCACCGCCCCTTTCTCCATAGAGAGGTTGTTAGTCCGAGTTATCTTGTCCGCGTGACAAAAAAGGGAGGCGGGTACCCCAACGTCTCCCACTTCGAGGGCCTAAGCGGCGCACCTCTCTCAACCTTTACTTCCAAGGACGGAAAGTCTGTTCCTCTTCCTCTCCCCACTCGGTCCCAAGCCCGCTTTCTAGCTCAGCACCTCTCTCCCCACCAACTGGTCCCCCTCCAACCTCTTCTCCTCACCCACTCGACCTGTTTCCCTGTCCCCCGCCCCTCTTTTCTACCGGCTCGGCCCCTTTGCCCTCAGCCTGCCGCCGACCAGCCCACGGCACCTTGAGGGTCACGTCGCACAGTTTGCCCTGCCGCCGGATCTCCTCCATGACGCCGTAGCCGCGACTAGGCAACTCGGACACCGAGAAGTGCACCAGGTCCTCCAGCTCCTCCGCGCCGTCCTCCACCATCTTCCCCGGCCGCCGCAACTGCGCAGGCCTGTCCGGCCGGCTCAACATTAACTAGGGCGGGGCGTGGGCGCACGCCGACAGAGGCTCGGAGAGCAGAGCTGTAACCAGACGGGCCTGCGCGGCCGCCGTAGTCGCAAACTCTTCTGTGCCGGAAGCCCCTCTGCCTCGCTTCCTGGTTCATACGCAGCCTTCGTTCCCTCGCTGCCCCGACCTAGGCTTCGCGCATGCAGCTGCCGAAGTCTTTCTAGATAAATCGACCCCATCTCCTGTCCTCCCGATTCAGCTATGATCTTACCCGTAGCCGCGACGTATACCTCGAATTTCATTTCCGCCACCCCTGACACTTCCGGAATCCCCGGAAGCGACTCGTTGCCATGACGACTCTGTACACAACCCTGCTGCAGCGCGTGGGGCGTCCTGGTCGCGTACGGTGTTTCAGTTGCTGCGAGGGGCTGCAGGGAGCGCCGCTGCCTAGCGAGCTGTGAGCAGGGGCCGCGGGCCAGTGGGGGCGGGAAGAAGGGAGACTGAAGAAGGGTGTACGCCTGGACAGCTGGCAGTGGCTGTGGTCCGAACACCGCTCTAATCGGGAGTTCCCAGTTTGGCTAGTTCAGCTACGAAACCCAGGCGAAGGAGGGCGCGGCATCGCCCAGCCCTTTCAGTCTGGCCGCGACTTGGGGCCTTCGGAGCTAATGTTCCCTGATCCCACGAGGTCCCACGTCTCGCCCAATACAGAAAGAGTGTGAGGCAGGGGGCCAGAGGTCACCTAGACTCTTCTGCACTCGTCAGTTTTCGAACTGGAGGGGGCTTCGGGATCACCAGTCCGAGCCCTTCGCTTAACAGATGAGAAAACCGCTCCAGGGAGGAACGGGAATGGGCTCAAGGCCCACTGCCGTCCAGACTCCACTAAGGGGACCAGCACGTTGGATGAGAAAAAGGAAAAAGGCTAGCTTTCTCTGGATCCCAATCTGGTGTTCAACCCAAAGTCAGATGCAGTTGGACCCAGTGGTTTGGGTTCAGGTACTGTTACCCCTGCCGCTTCGGTAGCTATGAGTGAAGGTTCCCGGTGACAGTTCCGTAACTGGGCAGGACCACTGGAAGACAGGGACCCACCTGGTGCCTACCGTTCCACCATACGCTTCCTTTTCTCTTTTTCTTCTTCTCCTCTTCCTCCTCTTTCCTCCACTACCACCACCAGGGAGTGCAGTGACACTATCATAGTTTTTTTGTTTTTTGACCAGGCTGGAGTGCAGTGATCATAGTTTACTGCAGCCTTAAACTCCTGGATTCAAGCAATCTTTCCACCTCAGCCTCCGGAGTAGCTGGGGCTACAGGCATACACTTCCATCCCCGGCTAATATTTTGGTTTTGTGTGGAGATAAGATCTTGTTGTGTTACCTAGACTAGTCTTGAACTCCTTGACTCAATTGATCCTCTGGCTCTGGCCTCCGCCTTCCCGAGTGCTGAGATGTGAGCCACTGTCAGGCCTCCTACTCCTCTTGTTGAGCCTTCAGGGGTTCCTGGTGGCAATTCTGTTAATCTCCACTCCTAAAACAAATGAGGAAGCTGGGAGTCTCTCCACAGAGGTCTCCTGGTGGCCACTCGGAGTCGCAATTTTTGGACCAGAAATATCTAAGGAAGGCTTACAAAGGAGGGGCATTCCCCACTAGGTCCTGAGCGAGAAAGACACTACTAAAGGGGAGGGTGTGGTGAAGGGCTGAATGTGCCTTTTTGCACTTGTAAACCAGATGTTCTTCTGGAAGGGCTGTGGGCTTGGGTCAGAGGTGATATGGAAGGGGAGTGACATCACATGCCCCTTGCGACTCTCTCAGTAGTGACTGAAGATGGATCCACATATGGAGATGCAGCTGCTCTCTGACTTCCAGCCATGACCATCACCTCCAACCACCATTTCTTGAGTACCTGCTCTGTGCTGGGCTCTGTTCTGGACATTGTGGGGGGATTCAAAAGAGATAAAAGTCACAGTCCTTGTTCTCAACCAGCTTGTAAATTAATTTGGGAGGTGAAATCCACTCAAATGAAGCGGCATAAGAATGGTAACAAGCAGTATTTCAGTAAGTGCAAGATAGCATGGGGTCCCCAAATGCCTGGGTTGAGGGGTTGCTGAATGGTAGGCTCACAGGAGGGGTGTGGTTCATAGGGAAGGCTTATTTACGATGGATATGGCTCCTGGCATGCGTGGAGTCATGGGGAGGGCCTTGGGAAGCATAGATTGGATGACTGCATGTGCATGTGCATGTGCATGTGCATGTTGGCTAATCACAGAACAGAGAACTCCGGGCAGGCTCCTGAGGGATGGGTGTGCTTTGAGCTGGCCTGTACTATGCTTGTGCTGTCAGTGGGCTAAGGCGTCAGGGAGGGTGGTCTGGGCACCTGCTCCCAGAGCTCCCTACTTCTTCGTGATTGCTCTCAGAAGGCACCCTGGATGACATCTGAACTTCCCTGGGTAGGAGAATGGGCCCTCTGGGCTGCTGTGAGGAGTGGTTCCCAGAGCTTTAGGAATGAGTGAGTCAAAACACACTCCCCTCTACTCTCAACTTCCCTATGGCATAGATCAAAGTGAACTTGTAGATGAGATGTTCTCTTCAGATTCCTCAGTTTTGGGATTTATGTTAGATCTCTTTGTGGCTTTTTATTTCTTTTTTTTTTTTTGAGTTGGAGTCTCACTTTTTCTTTCTTTTTTTTTTTTTTTGAGTTGGAGCCCGGCCACCGCAGCCTCGACCTGCTGGGCTCTGGCGATCCTTCCGCCTTAGCCTTCCAAGTAGCTGGAATTACAGGCAAGCGCTACCACGCCCGGGTGATTTTTTTGATTTATTGTAGAGATGAGGTCTCGCTGCCCAGGTGGGTCTCGAACCTGCGGGCTCAGGCAATCCACTCACCTCAGCCTCCCAAAGTGCTGGGATTACAGGCTCAGCCACCGAGCCTGGCTTTTTATTTCTAGAGCTCAGTTTTGCAGACAAAAATGTTAGGACTTAAATTAGACAAGCCACTGTTCTTGTTCACTCCAATATCTTGCAGATTCATGTTCTCAAAAGGTCTGAATGATCCCATAGTGACTAGGAAAAGACTTCCATGAAATTGTGATGAGGAATGTGGGAAGTGTGCACACACTTTACAATAGGCAAACATGTAAGTACCACATTTGCTTATTTGATTTAACATCTGAAGGACTTATAACAGGCATCAGTTTTATTTTGTTCATATCATTGAAACTGTAGGCTGAAAGAACAAGGTCTGTCTCTAACTTTCTCCTATAGAGATACTTAATACTACTTGATGAAGAAATCAAGTGGTCACAACAAGTTACGTGAAAATGTGGAAGGACATTAATATTTTTAAAATCTAGAATAATTTTTGTCAGGTAACACTTATTGAACCTCTCTTAGATAATTACATTTGAAATGTTGCAATTCTTTATTTAATGTGCTTTTTTTTTTCTGAGTCAGAGTCTTACTCTGTCACCCAGGCTGGAGTGCAGTGGTGCTATTACAGCTCACTGCAACTTTGACCGCCTGAGCTTATGTGATGTTTCCACCTTAGCCTCCCAAGTAGCTGGGACTATAGGCAAGTGCCACTACGCTTGGGTAAAGTTTTACTTTTTTTAGAGACGAAGTCTTGCTATGTTGCCCAGGTTGATCTTGAATTCCTGACCTCAAGCGATCCATCCACCTCGGCCTTCCAAGGATTACAGGCATGAGCCACTGTGCCTGGCCTTAATATGCTTTTTTAAAAAGCAAAATAATGAACTATAATTAAAGAAAGAAGTCCCTGTTAATGCATGGGGTTTTTATATGGTAAAGATCTTAAAAATTAGTTTTTTAAAGCTGGACACAGTGGTGCACACCTGTAGTCCCAGTTACTCAGGAGGCTGAGGCAGGAGGAACATATGAGCCCAGGAGTACAAGTTGAACCTGAGCAACACAAAGAGATACCTATCTCTAATCTCTAAAATGAATGAATGAATAAAGAAATAAATATTTTTTTAAAATAGTAAACATCATATCAGTTTGTTGGAGTGCTTTGCAGTAGTACAAGAAAGCTATTTTTTCCTTACTGTTGATAGTGCTATTTTCCAATTTGAAAATGAAATTGAGTCCACTTCCTATGTGTCACATTTCCCTAACTCTTCATAAATTCAGCAAATTCCTTTGCTGATTGTCTTTTTCAAAAGTGTTGCCAGGTGTGGTGGCTCATGCCTGTAATTCCAGCACTTTGGGAGGCCGAGGCAAGTGAATTGCCTGAGCCCAGGGGTTTGAGACCAGCCTGGGCAACTTGGCGAGACCTCGTCTCTACAATAAATGAAAAAATTAGCCAGGCATGTAGCATGCACCTGTAGTTCCAGCTACTTGGAAAGCTGAGGCGGAAGGATCGCTGGAGCCCAACAGGTCAATGCTGGGGTGACTGTGAGTGTGCCACTTCACTCCAGCCTGGACTACAGAGTGAGACTCCAACTCAAAAAAAAAAAAAAAAAAAAAATTGGCATATACCTGTAATTCCAGCTACTTGGAAGACTGAGGGGGAGGGATCACCTGAGTTCAGCAGTTCAAGGCTGCAGTGACTGTGAGCCTACCACTGCACTCCAGCATGGGCGACAGAGTGAGACTCCAACTCAAAAAAAAACTGTTTCCCGGAGTTTTTGTTTGTTTGTTTGTTTTTTACCTTAGCCTTAACTCTATCCCACCCCATGAGAGTACGGCTTATTTTGGGTGCAAATGCTTCACTTCTTACTGAATTGGACAGTAACAGGAAGCTCGGAAGAGAAGTGGATGGTGCTGCATACATCCTGCCCTGAGGCCTCTGTCCACTGTGGAATATTAATTCTAAATGGGTTAGGCCGGGCGCAGTGACTCACACCTATAATCCCAGCACTTTGGCAGAAGTGAGAGGATTGCCTGAGCCCATGGGTTCGAGATCAGCCAGGACAACTTGGTGAGACCCCATCTCTACAATAAATCAAAAAATTATCTGAGCATGGTGGCGTGTGCCTGTAGTTCCAGCTATTTGGAAAAATTAGGTGGAAGGATTGCCTAAACCCAGCAGGTCAAGGCTGCTGTAGCCAGGAATGTGCCACTGCCCTCCAGTCTGGGTGACAGAGTGAGACTCCTACTCAAAAATAATTTTTTAATGGGTTTTTAACATTCTTTCTTTATATTCATGGTTTCATAAAAGTAAAATTACTGAAATTTGAGGCACATTTGGGACTACCTACCCACATGCTATGTGATGATATTGTTAAAATTACCACATAAAAGAGAAAAAATAATAGATTGATTTTAGAAAAAGATATTTATATTTAAAATTAAAAGTGTTTCATCTTAGAACAATTAAAATTGTATTATGTTAATTTGCCTAATAGTTTTGAACAATGAAATTATTTAATATTTTCCATAAACTTTTATGTAGTTTTCTAGTACTACTTAACTAGATTTAACATAATTGATGATGATTACAAATAGGTTACATAGCTTTCCCTTGAGTACTTGACATTTTCTCCAATATCTTATCCTTTGTCATCTTTGTATATACCAAAGCACCTCAAGAACTGATGAAATTTTAAGTCATCCTTAAAGCAATAAAAAACAGTGTGATTCTCACCTCTATTGAATAATCCTCTTTACTTATCCACTTTATGTCAATGTTAGAACCAAAATTTACTGTCTAATGAGTATTAGGCCTGGCATGATGGCTCATACTTATAATCCTATCACTTTGGGAGGCTGAGGCAGGAGGACTGCTTGAGGCCAAGAGTTTGAGACCAGCCTGGGCAACATAGCAAAACCCCATCTCTACAAAAAATAAAATATTTTTACACAGACACTCACAGGGGAAGGCTAAGTGTGATTTGATCAATGATACTAATAGCTAATAAATATGAGATTTCTTAGTTATCATTTAGAGAGTAGTGCAATTCCATTTTTAAAAGTTTTTATAGGCCAGACATGATGACTCACACCTGTAATCCCAGCACTCTGGAAGGCTGAGGTGGGAGCACTGCTTGAGGCCAGGGGTTCTAGACCAGCTTGAGCAATATAGCAAGACCCTGTCTCTACAGAAAATAAAAAAAAATTAGCCAGGCATGGTAGCATGCACCTGTAGTCCTAGCTATTTGGGAGACTGAGGTAGGAGGATCACTTGAGCACAAGGAGTTTGAGGCTGCACAGCCATGATCATGCCACTGCATTTCAACCTGGGTGACAGCAAGACTCTGTCTCAAAGAAAAATAAAATTTTAATGAAATATTAAAATATTCTTTCTAATGCACTTGACTAGTTTTAAAAAGAAAAAATAAAATAAACAAATAAATGAAATAAAATATTTTAATTGAACAATATCTTAGAGATCAATTTACCCTCCAACTCAATGCAACAATCCCTTCAGTTGTATCTTTGCTAGTAAGCATCTTGATTTTGCTTGACTCTTTATAGTATTTGTAGTTCTTACCTTGAGAAGATCTTTTCCATTTTGGGACAACTCTACATAACAGAAAAGTTGTATATCTTGTGTATCTGTAAGCTTTCATCCTCTTCCATGAAGCCACATCTAGCATTTATTTTTTAAATTTTATTATACTTGTATACATACAGTTATTTGCGATAGTATAAATAAGGGAAGGCAAATATATATGTGGCTAACTGAAAGCAAATGATGAAAATATAGTTAGGTTTTAGGAAAACAAGAGGACTGTCTGTGATTTTCTCTCAATGTAGTAAGAGAACAATCTTTGATTATGGGACAAAATATACTTATAGGGCATCTATTTCTCAGTTAGTCTAACAGATGTAGAGAAGGGGATGCTGCATCTGAAGCAAGTTATGTTAATAAAAGAAATAAACTTAGCCAGGTACTGTGGCACGCACCTGTAGTTCCAGCTACTCAGAAGGCTGAGGTGGGAGGATCGCTTGAGCCCAGAAATTCAAGGCTAAGATTGGAGACAACTTGAGCCCAGGAGTTTGAGGCTGTAGTGAGCTATGATTGTGCCACTACACTTCAGCCTGAGTGACAGGGCCCTATCTCTAAAAAAGGGAAGAGAATAAAATTAGTTTTAATCTATTTCATAATAAGTATTTAGAAAAAATATAGCAAATCAGGCAAAGCATAGGTGTACTCAGATGTAGGACACTTCTAGAAACAACATTAAGATCTATCACAGAGACAAAGAACTGAGTACTACATGTTCTCACTCATAAGTGGACCCTGAATAATTATCATAATACTATAAGAAAGGGATTGGCAGTAGTGGGAAACTGCTGGCGGGGTGGGGGGTAGTATACTTCATCAATAAGGGGTACCTGATCTTAAACTGGGCAAAGTGGAAGCCAAAGTGAGGTCCACACTTTACCTGTATAATGACCATTTGTATGCTTAACCCTGAATTGTACCCACATCTTTAAAAAAAAGAAAACGATTACTAATGGAAGCATTTCTTCTTTCTGTATTTTGGTGCCTTGGGGGTCATTTTGGAAAATAGTAGAGCAGCCTGTGAAGCAGGAAGTTCATGTACTTATTGAGCAGTGTTCTGTGGGTAGAGCACTGAAACGCTGAGGGGAAGGAAGGGAGACTGGCTCTCAGAGGGACAAAAACTACTGGACTGCATGTCGTTCCTTTCAGATCTTCTTCATGAATGACCCCTCTCCTGTAGTTGTTTAATGATGACTACTGGAAATTTCATTGTTCTCTTCTTTTTAGCTAGAATGGGTACTAGGAAAAAAGTTCATGCATTTGTCCGTGTCAAGCCCACTGATGACTTTGCTCATGAGATGATCAGATATGGAGATGACAACAAAGTAAGTGCAATGTGTTTGCCTTGCTTGCCTGAGCCTTTCTGTCCCACTCACTACAGCGTAACCTTACTTTCAAACAACCTTTTTAAGAACCAAGACTGATTGAGTTGGTAAAAGTTCAAATGGACTATAGAGTCCATCAAGTCCAAACCACTCCCTCACGACGCTGTTAATGAGGAAATTCATAAAACTGCTATCTTTCATTGTCTTTTAATAATTTTACCTTTAGTAAGTTAATAAATTTACCTTTACCCTTGTTTCTAACACAAGAAAATTGACATTTGTCCATACTCATAAAACTTTATCATGATTTAATTTGCCATTATATCATCCGGGCAGGATGGTAAGAATATCTTGAGTTGATAACTGTGTAACTTATCAAAGAAGTAGGGTAAACTCTTATCAAGAGAACTGGAAAGTTTTATCCATCTCTATACCCTCACCCCTGTCCTGAGATTTCTTCTGAAGACTATGATGGGCTTAAGGATAGCATGAGAGTGTTAGATGTTTTCATTCAGCAAACATTTTTAAGCCTGCCATAGTCATCATTGAGACATTCTTTTTTTTTGAGTCAGAGTCTCACTCTGTCACCCAGGCTGGAGTGCAGTGGCAAGCTCACAGCCACCTCACCCTCGACCTGCTGGGCTCAGGCAATCCTTCTGCCTCAGCCTTCCAAGTAGCTGGAACTACAGGTGTATACCACCACACCTGGTTAATTTTTTGATTTATTGTAGAGACGAGGTCTCGCCATGTTGCCCAAGCTAGTCTTGAACCCGTGGGCTCAGGCAATCCTCTTGCCTCCACCTCCCAAAGTGCTGGGATTGGAGGTGTGAACCACCACCCCACCTGACGAGACATTCTTCAGAGGAAGAATTTAAGGACAGACTGCTCAGGATTCAAAGGTCCTAGCAATCAGAAAAGAACTCAGATGCAACCCTGTATAACATGCCCTGCTATATGTGGTTTCAGTGACCACAGAAGCACAGACGATTTAATGGGTGAATGGACCACGCCTGTGTTTCTTGGTCTTAACTTTTCTGTGTGGCCTGATCATGGCTCCTGAATTAGAGCAGCCAGTATAAGATTTTTGCATGAGTCTTTACATCAAAAGTCCCAGCCAAGAAGATTGGCATCACCACTGACCTTACCAATATGTCCCTAAGCCAGCTGCTGCCACAATGGCTTGCTATGAAGGGACATGCACCTAAAAATCTGCTGATTAGAAGTAAGTTGAGACCGGGCACAGTGGCTCATGCCTATAAATCCCAGCACTTTGGGAGGCTGAGGTGAGAGGATTGCCTGAGCCCATGGGTTCAAGACCAGCTTGGGCAACTTGGCGAGACCTCATCTCTACAGTATATCAAAAAATTAGCCAGACATGGAGGCACATGCCTGTAGTTCCAGCTACTTGGAACACTGAGGTGGAAGGATCGCTTGAACCCAGCAGGTTGAGGCTGTGGTAGCCATGCGAGTGTCATTGCACTCTAGCCTGGGCGACAAAGTGAGACTCTGATAAAAAAAAAAAAAAAAAGAAGTAGGTTGAGCACTCTGAATTTACTCTGATTCCAGTGAGTAGCTGTGTCTGAGAAGTGCATAGCCTTTTCTGTGGCTATTATTTCATCGTTACTCACATTGGCCCATAGCACGTATATGGAAGTAGATGCTCACCACAGTGCAGAGCTGAGGGAGGCCTCACTACCAGTAGCTAGAGAGATGGGGCTCCAGACCAGGCCTCTGTCACCAAGCTCACACGGTTCCTCCCTATGCTTATGGAATGTATGTAAATCTTGTTTAATAAAAACATAATAAATTTGATTGACCTCACATCATAGACAAGACAGAAAGCACCCTGTAGATTAGAGTGAGAGGTACTGAAACTAGTAAGTCTCCTGATCTTTTCACCCTGAGGATGATGTGACCCCCCTAGGAGCTCCCTACTCCCATCAAAGAATTCACTCAGAATATCAGTCCATATGTGGAAGTCCCGCTTCATCCTGCAGTTCACTTCCTTAATTTCCTCAGGGTCAGGTATCAGCCATCAGTGATTTTTTTTTTTTAATGCCAGTTTTTTTTTTTTTTATCAAAGTCTCACTCTGTCACCCAGGCTGGAGTACAGCGGCACGCCCACAGCTACTGCAGCCTGTATCTGGACTCAGGTGATCCTTATGCCTTAGTATCCAAGTAGCTCCCTCACCACAGGTGCATGCTACTACACCCGACTAATTTTTTGGTTTATTGCAGAGACGAGGTCTCACCAAGTTGTCCAGGCTGGTCTCGAACCCCTGGGCTCAGGCAGTCCTCTCACTTCTGCCTCCCAAAGTACGGGGATTACAGGTGTGAGCCACAGTGCCCAGCCAGTTTATTAATAAACAATGTTTTTTAACTCTTTTTTTCCCTAGAGCATTGATATTCATCTAAAAAAAGACACTCGGAGAGGAGTTGTCAATAACCAGCAGACAGATTGGTCATTCAAGCTAGATGGAGTTCTCCATGATGCCTCCCAGGACTTGGTTTATGAGACAGTTGCAAAGGATGTGATTTCCCAGGCCCTCAATGGCTATAATGGTAATTTGGTTAATTAACCTTGTCTTATGTAAGAACATGAGGAGCCCCTTCCAGGGTAAGAGGTACAAGTATCTTATGGGGAATAAAATAAAATATAGCCTCACTAACATTTGTATGTTTCTTTGTCTATCTCTGTTCTTATGGTACAAACTTACTAGTTTCTTGTTGACATCGTGGGCATGACTTGAGCCAATGTCCTGGGGTTCTACTTTTACAGGAAAATTAATAGACCTTGGCTCTGTATAAGTCATGGGGGTTCAGCTATTAGCCTTTTTCAGATCTCTCAAATATTAGTTCTGGAGATTTGTCCTTGGGATGAGTTTGATAGAGTTCATTTTTTTTTCTCTCAGTAACCTGCTAGTGGCTATTTTTGTTTATTCTGCTGACACACTTAATGTATTGTTCATATTCTAATAAGATTATTTACATTACTACTAAAAACTTGAGTTTGATTTTTTCAACAAGTTAAAATTTTTTGGAATATTTTTACAAATTTGTTCAGTCTAAGATTGTTTTAAAATGTTAAAAATTCTTAAAAAGAATATATCACAGTTTGTAGACTTTGCCATCTGGTGGCTCTGACGAGAATGTTCCCTGTTTAGATTTTATATTTAAAGACCATTGGCCCAAGTGTGGTGGCTCATGCCTGTTTGGGAAACCGAGTCAGGAGGATTGCTTGATCTCAGGAGTTCAAGACTAGCCTGGGCAACATAGCAAGACTCCATCTCTGTTTGTTTTTTTTAAGACCATTGAGTGTGGATGTCCAGTCATTGTAATTTATCCTGGTGTGAACATAGATGTGGTCCCCACTGATCCAAGGATGTTCTCATGACCCCTTGAGGAGATGTGGCCCTGAGGAGGTGGACACAGAGGAACTAAGGCTAGGGAGGTTAAAATGGGTGCTATAGATCTACAAATGGGATCTGAGTCATAGCTGAAGGGACTCCTTCCCGCTCATTTGTGTTGGGTTAATAGACACTGTTTTGGATCTAACTCAGATGCTGAATCAAGGCCCCTTGTGTAAAACTTTCTACTAATCCTAAGAACCAGAGCATCTGTGTGACAAAAGCAAACACCAATTTCCATAGCCCAGTGCTGCCTGGACAGATCTACATAAATGCCCAGAAGCAGCCTTTGGGATGGAGTCTAGCTCAGGCTGCCCAAGCCAAGAGGAAGAGCAGGTGGAAGCCGGAGTCCAGTGTGACTGAGTTGTTGTTTCCCAGAGCCTGGTGGTGATAATAGACCTAAAACCTGTGAGAGGTATAAACAGAAGTCTTCCCAGGGCCGGCAGTGGGACCAGATCAGGCCTGGTCATGGTAGACCATTTCTGGAAGTGACATAGGACCAACTAGGAGCCCTGTTTAATACCATGGAAACTTGCAATCTACAAAGAATTCTCACCATAGACAGGAAATGTCCTTTCCACTCCATCTCTTCCTGGAGACTTTTTGAAAGCTCTTCTTGCCTCTCTGGAGAAGTAGATGCCTCTTGCTAGCCCTGAGACTCTGGCAGTCATGGCCTTGCTAAAGAAAGGCTGGAGTCTGCCAGATGCGGAGCTTCACACCTATCGTCTCAGCACTTGGGAGCCCATGGTGAGAGGACTGCTTGAGCCCAGGAGTTTAAGATCGGCCTAGGCAACACAGTGAGACCTCATCTCCACAAAAAAAGTTAGTCGGGCCTGTAGTCCCAGCTACTTGGGAGGCCGATGCGGAAGGATTGCCTGAGCCCAGAGGTCAAGGCTGTGGTGAGCCATGATTGGTGCCACTGCACTCCACCCTGGGTGAGAGAGTAAGACCCTAGCTCCTCCCCAAATATTTTTTAATTATATAAAAAAATAAAGACAAGATGGAGTCCAGTACTCCTATTTCCCTCCTCATCTTTTTAGGAAAAGTTCCAATTCCTCTGTACCCTGAGATTCCTTGTTCTCCTCAGGAGCCCTAAGGCCAGATCATCTCTTGGCAAAGGGAGCAGTAGAGCACTGTGTGGGACACAGATTCAGGGCAGATGTCCTTGTTTGACCACTTATGGCCCTGTTCCCTTGCCCACTCACCCTCTTTCATGGTGGAATTCCTGATGTCTTTGGCTGTTCCCATTGGTCATCATTTTTTTTTTTTTTTTTTTTGGCTGGGCATGGTAGTTCATGCCTAAAATTCCAGCACTTTGGGAGGCTGAGGTGAGAGGATTGCCTGAGCCCAGGGGTTCAAGACCAGCCTGGGCAACTTGGCAAGACCTCATCTCTACAATAAATCAAGAAAAATTAGCTGGACATAGTGGCACATGCCTGTAGTTCCAGCTACTTGGAAGGTTGAGGTAGAAAGATCACCTGAGCCCAGCAGGTCAAGGCTGTGGTGGCTGTGAGTGTGCCACTGCCTTCTAGCCTGGGCAACTCTCTGGTTGGAGATCATGGCAAAAGGCCTTTCCCCAAAAGCATCTTGTGGTTTTAAAACCCTGTCCTATAAGTATAGACATCCCTCTAAACCATCCATGCTCCATTTTTGAAGCAATATCCTTAATATCCCACTGTCAAAGCTTTAGTATCTCTGCATCTTAGACTTTAATAGTCTAGCAAAAAAATTTTTTTTTCTAACTCAAAAAAAAAATTTTTTTTTTTTTGTCCCAGGTCACATTCTGTTACCCAAACTGGAGTGCAGTGACACAATGACGTCTCACTGCAGCCTCTAATTCCTGGGTTCATGTGATCTTCCTGTGTTAGCCTCCTAAGTAACTGGGACTACAGGCACATACCACCACACCAAGATAATTTTTTTAAAAAGTTTTTATTGTAGAGATGAGCTCTTGCTATGTTCCCTATACTGGTCTTGAACTCTTGGGCTCAAGCAATCCTCCTACCTTGGCCTCCCAAAATGCTGCAATTACAGGCATGAGCCCCTGTACCTTGCCAGCTACTGGCCATGTTTATGCCAAGGGCCCTGGCTAGCACCAGGTTTGCTGGGGGCTAGGAGAGCTGTTCTTGGAGCTGTTTTCCTAGATGTCACCAAGATATGTTTTGAAATGTTTGCAGGCACCATCATGTGTTATGGGCAGACGGGAGCTGGCAAGACATACACCATGATGGGGGCAACTGAAAATTACAAGCACCGGGGCATCCTCCCTCGTGCCCTGCAGCAGGTAGAGAGTGGGCCCACGGGTGGGGTGCCATATAAATCCCCTCTCTCTGCCATAGATTCTGCTGATCCCAGCCTGGCTACTAGAGACAGCGGGGTCCAGCTCTCAAAGGAGTTTCAGACAGTAAACACAGAGTACACACAGTTCAGGGGTGGGTGGGGTCAGAGGCCTCAGGAAACCAGGAGTTCAAGTTTCAGACTCTGACTCACACCTACACTGAGCTTGTTTCCTCATTTGTGACAGAGGGAATCAGGCATGCTCACCAGCCTCAAAGTTCCAATGATATGTGATCCTATAATTAGCATTTGAAGGTCCTAATCTTGCTGCTTCCTGGTTTTAATGAGGGGAATATGGACCCTTACAGAGCTTCCTAACTGTCCTGCTCTAGGTTCTTCTACTAACATAGGCCCTGAAAGAGCAAAGGCAAGAGAAGCAGGACATGATCTGAGTTTTCAGGACTGTGTCAGTCCTGGGAGTCTGGAAGTGTGACTGCATATAGAACACAAGGGCCTTCCTTTGGGCTCTGTTAGCCTGGGCTCTGTGAGGACTCTCTGGTTGGAGGTCATAGTAAAAGGCCTTTCCACAAAAGCATCTTGTGGTTTTAAGGCCCTGTCCTACAAGAAGTGTAGATATCCCTCTAGTATATAAACCATCCATGCTCCAGTTTTTGAAACAATATCCTTAATATTTCACTGTCCAAGCTTCAGTATCTCTGCATGTTAGACTTTAATAGTCTAGCCCAGTGCCACAAATAAAAATACAATGTAAGTCTCATATGCAATTTTGAGTTTTCCAGTAACAACATTTTAAAAAGTAAAAATAAACAGATGAAATTAATTTTAATGATATATTTTATTTAGGTCGGGCATGGTGGCTTGCTCCTGTAATCCCAGCACTTTGGGAGGCTGAGGCAAGAGGATTGCCTGAGCCTAGGAGGTCGAGACCAGCCTGGGAAACATGGCAAGACCTCATCTCTATGATAAATCAAATAATTAGTGGGGTGTGAAGGCACGCACCTATAGTCCCAGTTACTTGGAAGGTTCTTCTGAGCCCAGCAGGCAGAGGCAGACTTGGTGACAGAGTAAAACTCTGACTCAAAAACACAAAATATAAAAAACCATATTTTATGAACTCAATATATCCAAAATATTGACTGGGTATGGTGGCTCACACCTGTAATTCCAGCAGTTTGGGAGGCCATGGCAGCAGAATCGCTTGAACTTAGGAGTTTGACACCAGCCTGGGTTACATAGTGAGGACTCATCTCTGAAAGAATTTAAAAAATTAGCTGGGTATAGTGGCACTTGCCTGTAGTCCTAGCTACTCAGAAGGCTGAGGTGGAAGCTCTCCCAAGCCCAGGAGGTCAGTCCATCGCATTTCAGCCTGGGCAATAGAATGGGACTCCGAATGAAATTTTTTTTTTTTTTTTGAGTTGGAGTCTCACTCTGTCGCCCAGACTGGAGTGCAGTGGCCGCTCCCGGCCACCCCAGCCTCGACCTGATGTGCTCTGGCGATCCTTCTGCCTCAGCCTTCCAAGTAGCTGGAACGACAGGTGCGCACTTCCATGCCTGGCTAATTTTTTGATTTTATTGTAGAGATGAGGTCTCGCTGCCCAGTCAGGTCTCGAACCCATGGGCTCAGGCAATCCACTCACCTCAGCCTCCCAAAGGTGCGGGATTACAGTCTGAGCCACCGAGCCCGGCTTGAAATTTTTTTTCATGTATAATCAAAATAAAATTGTTGAGATATTTTACATTCTTCTTCTCATACTAGGTTTTTGAAATCCAGTGTGCATTTTACACTTGGAACAAATTTCAATTTAGACACTAAATATTCATCAGAAACACTTGATCTATATTTAGATTTCATAAAATTTAGAGTTGAAAAAAGTTGGTTCACATACCCAAGTTGTTCCAAACATACTTAAAATTTTACCAATAACTGAGTTGAGTACATTTTAAATCTGTTTAATTAAAATTAAATAAAATTTAAATTCAGTTTATTTGCACTAGCCACATTTCAAGTGCAGCCATCTGCAGCTAGTGTCTACCATTTAGCACAGGTCTCTCTTAGAGGAAGGCAGGGCATGAGGGATTATCCAGCCCAACTCACCATTTGACAGATAAGAAAATTAAGGTCCAGAGAGGGGTAAAGACCAGTCCGGCATCACTTGGTCAGTCAGTACTGGGAAGGTTATCAGGAGCTAAGAAGGTCAGATTTTGACTTCATGTCTGTCCTTACTAGATGAGTGGCCATAGACAAATACTTTTATTGTATTGAGTCTTCCACAAATGGGTATTGCCCGTGCTCTGCCTCAATCACAGGAGATTTATCTGAGGATGGAATTAAATAATAGACATAAAAGAGGCATATGAGTGGTGAGATCCCATGAAATAAGAGATCTTCACTCCAGAGTCCATTCCCCTCATCATGCCTTTGCTTCTTGAGAATCTATGTGCTAGCCAATCTGTAAGTCAAGCATTAGAAAAGTACAAGATGGTGATAAATAAATATCACTTAATGGGCTAATAATAGTAACAATAATTGTTGTTGATAATGACCATCATTCCAACTAGATGGCAAATTCCTTTAGGACAAGAATTATATTTCTTAATGTCCCTTCCTGAATTTAGAGTCCCCCAACACTAGCTGCTGTTGGAGTTTTGCTCTTGGTAACTGCTGTCCAATCTCCCATCTAGGTTTTCAGGATGATTGAAGAACGCCCCACACATGCCATCACTGTGCGTGTTTCCTACTTGGAAATCTATAATGAGAGCCTGTTTGATCTCCTGTCCACTCTTCCCTATGTTGGACCCTCAGTTACACCAATGACTATTGTGGAAAACTCTCAAGGTGTCTTCATTAAGGGGTTGTCAGTCCACCTCACAAGTCAGGAGGAGGATGCATTCAGCCTCCTTTTTGAGGTGAGATGATCAAGTTTAAGGGTTCTTTTCTTTTCCTTTCCTTCCCACCCTCCCTCATTCTTAGTTTTCCATTTACTTTGATAATCAGATTAAAAATTAATATATGCTTATCTGGCAAGCTCAGATAGTATTGGAAAAAATATAGGAACAAAAAAGAATTTTTTTCCTTTCCTTTCCTGTTAAATATAAAAAAAGCATTCATTCATAATCTGCCTTTTATATAAGGCAATAATAATGTATATTTTAGCTTATTTCCTTCCAGTGTTTTTTTCTTTGTAGTTTTTTCTTTACATAGTTGAAATTATTCTTATGTCTTTTTTTTTACATTAAATCATGAACACTTGTAGTATAGAAAAAAATAAGGATTAGAGCTCTTAAAAATCAATCAAGTGGATATTATTCTTTTAAAAGTCATATAGGGCCTGGTGTGGTGGCTCACACCTTTAATCCCAGCACTATGGGAGGCCAAGGTGGGAGAATCCCTTGAGCCCAGGAGTTTGAGACCAGCCTGGGCAACATAGTGAATCCTCGTCTCTACAAAAAATAAAATACATGCCTGTAATCCTAGCACTTTGGAAGGAAGAGGCAAGAGGATTGCCTGAACCCAGGGGTTCAACACCAGCCTGGGCAACTTGGTAAGATGTTGTCTCCACAATAAATAAAAAAATATTAAGCCAGGCGCAGTGGCTCATGCCTGTAATCCCAGCACTTTGGGAGGCGGAGGCGAAAGGATTGCCTGAATCCAAGGGTTCAAGATCAGCCGGGGGAACTTGGTGAGACCTCTCTCTACAATAAATCAAAAATTAGCCGGGCATGGTAGCGCACACCTGTAGTTCCAGCTACTTGAAAGTCTGACACAGAAGGATCACTGGAGCCTAGCAAGTCGATGCTGGAGTAGCCTCCAGCCTGGGCAACATAGTGAGACTCCAATTAAAAAAAAAAAGGGTTCCAGCCTGAGCTAGGTATAGTGGCATATGCCTATTATCCCAGCTACTCAGGAAGCTGAGATGAGAGGATTGCTTAAGGTTAGGAGTTCAAGGCTGCAGTATGTTATGCCTGCACCTGTGAATTGCCATTGTACTCCAACTGGGGCAGCATAGCAAGGCCCCATCTCTTTAAAAAAAAATGAAAAGAGTTCCAACCTGTATGACTTCCCTCCCTTTCTATCTCCCTCCCTTCCTCCCTTCCTCCCTTCTTCCCTCCCTCCTTACCTCCCTCCCTCCCTTCCTCCCTTCCTCCCTTCCTTCCTGTCACAGTCTCATTCTGTTGGCCAGGATGGAGTGCAGTGCCACAATCATGGCTCACTACAGCCTTGACATTCCAGGCTCAGACAATCCTTTCACTTCAGCCTTGGAGTAGTTGAGACTACTATACAGGCACACATCACCATGTCCAGCTCATTTTTGGTTTTTTTTGAGTTGGAGTCTCACTTGGTAATCCAGGCTAGAGTGCAATGACATGTTCACGGCCACCTCAGAATCAAGCCACTAGGCTCAGGTGATCCTTCCGGAACTACAGGCGCATACAAGTAGCCGGAACTACAGGCGCATGCTACCACACTTGGCTAATTTTTTTATTTATTGTAGAATGAGGTCCTGGCAAGTTGCCTAGGCCGTTCTTGAACCCGTGGGCTCATGCAATCTGCTCACCTCTGCCTCCTAAAGTTCTGGGACTGGGAATACAGGCTGAGCCACCACACCCAGTCTTTTTATTTTTTTTAAGTAGAATCTCCCAAGTGAAATGAAAGCATATGTACACATAAAGACTTGTATGCAAATATTCATAAACATTATTCATATTAGCCAAAGGCTGGAAATAACCAAAATATCTGTCAACCAGTGAATGAATAAACACAACACAATATCCATACAGTGGAAAACTAGTGATAAAAAAGAATGGAGTGCTGATACGTGCTAGAACATGGAAAAACCTCTAGCTGGGTGCAGTGGCTTAAGCCTGTAATCCTAGCACTTTGGGAGTCTGAGAAGAGAGGATTACCTGAGCCCAGGGGTTCAAGACCAACCTGGGCAACTTGGCGAGACCTCATCTCTATAATAAATCAAAAAATTAGCCGGGTGTGGTGGCACCTGCCTGTAGTTCCAACTACTTAGAAGGCTGAGGTGGGGTCGGGCTCAGTGGCTCAGCCTGTAATCCCAGCACTTTGGGAGGCCAAGGCGAGTGGATTGCCTGAGCCCACACATCTGTAGTTCCAGCTACTTGAAAGGTGGAGGTGGTGCTGGGCTCGGTGGCTCAGCCTGTAATCCCGCGCCTTTGGGAGGCTGAGGCAAGTGGATTGCCTGAGCCTGCGGGTTCGAGACCTGGCAACTTGGCGAGACATCATCTCTACAATAAATAAAAAAATTAGCCTGGCATGGTAGCGCGTGTCTGTAGTTCCAGCTACTTGGAAGGCTGAGGTGGAAGGATCACTGGAGCCCAGCAGGCGAGGCGGTGGTGGCCAGGAGCGGCCACTGCACTCCAGTCTGGGCGACAGAGTGAGACTCCAACTATAAAAAA